GAGTGGGCTGCCACTTCCTCCTCCAGGAGATCTTCCCAACCCAGGGCTCGAACTCAACGCCTCTTATGTCTCCTGCATCGGCAGGCAGATTCTTTACCACCAGCACCACCTGAGAAGCCCAGCAATGTCTCTATGGGGATAATGGCAGTTCACTAGCTATAAGGCAGAGAGGTGTTGGAGATGAAGCTGGAGAAATAGTGGGGACCTTAAATGTTGTGCTGCTAATCTTGAATTTAATTCTTCAGAAGCACCAGATCAAGAGCATGCAGATTTTAGACAGAGGTGTAATTTACATTTTTGAGAAATCAGGTTAGCAGGGAAGACTGTTTTTTGAGAAGTACAAGCCTAGAAGCTGGGTGATCAGTTGAGGAAATATTGTAATAAATCAGGTGAGCAACAGTTAGTCCTAGGTCATAAGGATGGTGAGAAAAAAAAAAAATAAGGATGGAAAGGAGGGAATAAACTGATGACAGAATTGGTGGGATTTGATTCATCAGTAGATCATGGGAGGTGGAAGAGACGGGGAAACTGAGACTGACTTCCTGATTTCTTGCTGTCTACATATGTACATGGTAATGTAATCAAATGTGAGAAAACCAGATGGCTGTGTCCCATAGAAGCTTAAGGGAGAGATCTGAACTGGAAAAACAGATTTGGGAGTTATTAGCATAAAGGAAATATTTAAAATCATTAGATTGGGCAAGTTTCTCCAAGGTAGAGTATAGATAAAGAAAAGCACTGAAGAAAGGATAGAATCCTGGGGAAGACTCACATCTTAAAGGAGGGCTCAGGGACAGCCCATGAAGGAGACATAATATCAGAGCACTATAAGGAGGATCTGGAGTGTTTGCCACATAGAAATTCAATCTAAGGAAGAAGGAATCAGCTTTGTCGAAGCAATGGAGGTGTTATTATTTCAATGAGAAATGGTAATTGCATTTGGTGATAAGAAGGTCAGGTAAAGAGGAGTAGGAAGGTGGAGTTGGCAACCAGACTGCAGAAAAGGGTAAGGTGTAAATGGGAAATTAAGAAGTGAAGTCAGTTACTATATATAGTTTGTTCTTTCAGGAACCCAAGGTAAAGAAGATGATGACAGAACTTAGGTAACAGGTCTCCCCAAGTTGGGCTTCCCTGGTGGCTCAGTGGTAAAGAATCTGCCTGTCAATGCAGGAGACGCAAGTTTGATCCCTAGGTCAGGACGATCCTCTGAAGAAGGAAATGGCAAGCCACTCCAATATTCTTGCCTGAGAAGTCCCATGAACAGAGGAGCCTGGCGGGCCACAGACCATCGGGTCACAAAGAGATGTGACTTAGCGACTGAGCGAAACAACCCTCCAACTCAGATGATCTCAAGCAGCTCAACAGAAAGTCTGCTGAGACAGCATATGCACACACCCATTCAGTAAATACTACATAAATAGATCTAACCAAATATCAGCACAAACCTTTAGGTTTTTACTTAGCCTTTCTTCCTCTTGTGTGTCATAATAATCTTTTTCCTTGACCACATTTTTTTCCTTAATCATTTCCTTCTGGTCTATTCAACATCAGAAATTGTTTTATGTAGCGAGAAGCTTCTCACAAAAATCTCCATGTCCCATTTTGAGAAATTGGCCTCAAGCCATTTCCTGCTTTGGTCATTAAAAAAATAATAATAGCTGTTATTTGCAGAGTAATCAGAATTCCATCAAGAAATGCTGTGTACATTAAATCTAAGTCATGTTATTGTTATGATTGCTAGTATTAGAATAACAAGGTGGTGACCTTGTTCATCTCTAAAACATTTGATATTGTTTAGTGAAGTTATAATCTGGACTTTCAGAAATCCAAGGTTGAACTATGTACCCTGTGGATGCTCCTTAAATAGTTATTTGATGACTAATCAGTTATTTCATAGGCCTTAACATAGACAAGATGATGTCAGAGCAGGCAGAGTTGAAGAAGTGAGCTCACACAAAGGACCAACCCAAAGAATTCTCAGGGAAATGTCAGTAATATTTGTACAGTATGTATACATTTATACAATCTTAAATCCCATTTAAGATTGTATAAATCTTTAAATCTTAAAGTCACATTTTACAAATGTGAAAGGAATAATTATAATTATCAAGACAATAACGTAAGATCCAGCAATCTCACTTCTGGGTTTATACCCGGATAACTGTACTTCCTTTTGTTTGTTTTTGACACCACATAGCATGTAGGATCTTACTTTCCCCATCAGGAATCAAACCCGTGCCCCCTGCATTGGAAGCACAGTGTCTTAACCACTGGGTAAATAGGGGTTTCCTAGGATATTTGTACTTCCACTTTCACCCAGCATTATTCACAATTGCCAAAGTATGGAAACAACCTAAGTGTCTGCCAATGGATAAATGAATAAAGAAGATGTGGTATACACATACAACAGACTATTATTTAGCATGAGAAAGGAAATCCTGCCATTTGCTACAAGATGCATGGGCCTTGAGGGTACTGTGTTAAGTGAAATAACTAGACAAAGACAAGCACTGCATGGCACCACTCATATGTAGAATGATAATAGGTCAAACTCATAGAAACAGACGGTAGAAAAGCGCTTGGCAGAGGCAAGGGGGTGGGGGAAGCAGGGAGAAGTTGGTAAAAGGGTTCATTCTTTTAGCTTTAAGATGAATAAAGTTAGGGGTTCTACTGTGTAAAAAGCGCTTGGCAGGGGCAAGGGGGTGGGGGAAGCAGGGAGAAGTTGGTAAAAGGGTTCATTCTTTTAGCTTTAAGATGAATAAAGTTAGGGGATCTACTGTGTAACACGGTAGCCATAGTTGATAACACTGTAATGTATCACTGATATTTTCTGAGAGTTGAACTTAAATACTCTCACCAAGAGAAGGAAGAAGGATAAATATATAAGATGATAAATGTGTTAACTTGATAGTGGAAATCCTTTCACAGTGTCTATGTATGTCAAATCACCAAGATACACACTTTAATTATCTTACAATTTTGTCAATTATACTTCAATAAGGCTGGGGGAGGGGGGAAGGCAATAAAGTAAATAAGATTATCTTAAATGGTGATTGTTTCTGATATGTTTGCTAGAAATCTGTTCTGGGCAAGAGTTTTAAGTTATGGAATAGAGCCTTTTTCATGGGAATATTGATGTTTTTAAACTTTTCCAAATTTCGGGCTGTTACATCAGCATGAAATTCAGAGCTGATTCATGTGGAAACTGTTTCTTTCTGCAATTTTAGGCTTTATTCATTTAGTTTCTCCTTTTTCACATGGTGTCTCTCATTTTGATAGCTTAATCTTCAGACATTAATGCTCTGAAAATGAAAGTCGCTCAAGAGTGTAACTCCTTGCAACCCCATGGACTGTAGACTGCCAGGCTCCTCTGTCCTTGGAATTCTCCAGGCAAGAATACTGGAGTGGGTTACCATTCCCTTCTCCAGAGGATCTTCCTGACCCAGAGATCAAATCCAGGTCTCTTGCATTGCAGGCAGATTCTTTACTGTCTGAGCCACCAGGAAAGCCTGTTAATACTCTAGGCATATGAAATATATTCATTCATTTTACAAATGCATGCAAATATTTTCGGGAGTCACAGGCATAATCCCTGTTTAAGGAGTTAAAAGAGATCACAATTCAGCAATAGAGACATAAAGTAGAGCTGTCATAAAAGATGACATACTAAAGTCCCTGGGGGGTCCATCCACGTGCAGGGACGGGTTTCATACATCTTTGTATCTCTGATGTCAGGCTCATTCTGGAAGAGAGTAAGTTTATTGAATTGAAATTAATTTAGACATTGGAACCAGGTGAAGAGGAAACCAGGAAGACCCATGATGAGGGATCGAATGAGTTAGGTCTGTCCCTAGAGGGATATGAGAACCCATACACAGTATAATGAAAAGACAACTTTCCAGGTAAAAAGAGAGTGATTGTATTAACATGCAAGTTGTAGATACTAAGATCAGAGATACTCCGGCCCACCAGGGTATCAGATGACCAGTGACTTTTTAATTACATGTTCACTGGCACTCATGGTCAGAGCAGAGGGTATGAGCCTCACCTCTACCACACTAAGTGATTTTTAATAATGTATATAAATCCTATGCCTGTTTTTATCAGAAAAATAGGAGTATAACCTATTTTAGGTCTACCATATCCTAGAGTTAAGTCAATAAGAGATGACTTTTTAAGAAAAAACAAAAAACGGTTTACAAAAAAAAATAAATAAATCGAAACATTTTAACTTTTAATGCAATGTGTAAGATGCTGGATAGCTTTCCAGTTTCACCTTGAAAAATGTATCCTTTAAGAAACAAACAAAAAAAAGCTGACGGACCAGTCCTGGGGCTGGTCTCAGAGGACCAGGCTCTCTCATGCCAGCTCCCATGCCTAGGTCATATCCCCTCACCTCTCTGGGCCTGTTTCCTCCTATAAAATGAAGAGTGATTTCCCACCTCGGTCCACACTTGACTATGAAATGTGGCTAGTTCGTATAAAATACATGACAGATTTCAAAGTTAAAACTGTAAAATACATTATGAATCGTTGAATATTGAGTATATTTTGAAATATTTTGCATATATTGGTTTCAATAAATCTATTATTAAAATTAATTTCACCTGCTTCTTTTTGTTCTTTGGATGTGACTACTAGAAAATCATCGTACACAGCCCTGGTATTGATCACAAGTATCCTTTTCAGCTTTATGACTCAGCCAGGGCCACCGTGGACACGTAATTCACGGTTTGATTTCCTCGCATCGAGATACGGAAGGATTGGCCGGGAATGAGGAGGCTGGGGCGGGGCCCTGCCGGAAGACACAGACCCCTCCAGCGTTGGCTCGGGGTCTCGGAGCTGGGAGAACCCCGACTCCCGCGCGGGGCTGGTGGCCGCAGCCTGGTCGGGTACCCAAGCCCGGGGCGTTCAGGGGACTCGGGGCGGGGCGGGCGCGGCTCTCCGGGCTAGGCGGAGTCGGGAAGAGGGTTGGTGCGTCAGCCACAAGCGCGGGGAAGGAAGCGGGCCTCAGGTCCCAGGCGGCCCGCGCGGGCGCCCCGGCACGTCCGCAGGCTGCAACGAGAGGTGGCGGCTTCTGAGAGGAAGGAGAGACGAGGGCGGGCCTGAGGGGCGGCCGGGAGGTGGGGCGCGCCCGGGGGCTGGCCCGCGCGGGCTTCATCTGCGGACGCACGGCCTGCTCCCGAGCGCTGGGGATTCCGAGGCGCGGCAAGACTAGCGGCTGGAGCGGCTATGGGCCGCCGCTGGGGCTTCCTGATCGGCTTCTTGATCGCCGTGGGGTTGCTGGGCTCGGGCCACGGCGAGCAGCAGCCCCCAGAGACGGCGGCGCAGAGGTGCTTCTGCCAGGTAAGCGGTGTGCGCGGCGGGGCTGCGGGTCCCGGGACCCCTGCCTCTGCCTTGAGCTGCGTCCCGCGCGCCCGGGCAGGTGGGGCGCCGGAGGGAGGGGTGTTAATTTCTCCACCCTTCCGGAAGAAGTCCCCGGTGCTTTTGCTCCCTGGCCGGGGCTGGGTCCTCTGCCCCTCACCTGGGTTGGTGTGAACAGGTCCGCCACCCGAAGACCCTGAACTGATGTCAGGGCGCCCTCCCGCGCTTCTGATCAGGCTTGGGGCGAGAGGCGTGGGTGCCCCACTGTCTGTTCCTACCTAATTGGTTTGTGCATCTCTGTTGGTCTTTCCTGCCCGAGAAGCGCGCGCGCGCACACACACACACACACTCACACTCAGTATTTGTTATTCTCACAGAACCTGGGTCTTTTTAACTTCCAATTTGACTTGGAACAGCGTGGGCTGTGCCTCTGCTGGGTCCCTTCTCCACCCTTTCTGGTTAGAACAGACTTTTGAAGAGGGCTGCCCTCAGATCTTCCTGTCAGGCTGGAGCATGGCTTCGGGTGGTTTTTCTGTGTCTTAAGCTCAACTGCCTGGTGTCTTTGGGGCCGCGGTTGCCCCGTGTCCTTTCCTTTTCCTGAATGTAGTGGAACTCTGACCGCGGCGTCCGTATTGCTGGCCCCAATTGGGAGACCGGTCCTCAGTGTACAAGTTTGAGAACAAGCTTATTATAATTATTTCCTTCGGTTAGTAAGAAATGTAGATTCCTTGAGCAAAATATTCAAAGAAACTTACAGGTTTTGGTATCCACAAGATGTGATATTTTAATGTCATTGTTATTAAAAGTCACCTTTTGGTTGATTTCTGTTGATAAAAATGACATTTTATACAACATTGAGGGATGGGTATCCAAATTGTTCCTTTTAAGTAGATTTTACTGTTAACTTATTTAGTTCTATTATGGTCAGTAATGGAAGGGATGGGGGTGAGAAGAGGAGAAAGAGGATGGTAACAAATAAACATGAAGACAAAAATGGAGACAAACATATCGATATGTATGTATCAACCAAATCAGAAAGAGAGATAAAATTTAAAAAATGGAGAAAGAAAAGGGGAGGTGCAAATGATCCATTCAGCAAACATTTATAAACACTATATAAATTGATCTGAGAATTTGTAATGCAGAAATACAGTGGCATAATTCCTGCCCTGAAGAGCTCACAGTTTAGTTAATCATGTTCTTTGGGACTTGAGGAGAGGCGGGGATCCTTGGTGTTCTTTTTTTTTTCAGTTAGTAAATATTGCTAGAAACTAAAAAAGCAAATTTTCACCTAAGGTTTGGAAATAAAAGTTCAAATCTTCTCTGGTTCTGTTAGCATTGGCCACAAAGTCCTTTTGATTCTTTTTTTGTTGCTAGTTGTAGCCTCGTCTTCCTTCCTGTTGCCTGTCCTTCTTACCACTTCTGCCTTGAGTTACCACACCATCACTCCTCGCCACTGCTGCATGGGTGCCTGGCTTGTTATATATACATGGGGATTCTGATTTGAACCACGGCAGCATGTATTTACGGCTTCCCTGGTGTCTCAGGGGTGAAAGAATCCTCCTGCAATGCAGGAGACACAGGTTCGATCCCTGGGTTGGAGAGATCACTGGAGGAGGGCATGGCCACCCACTCCAGTATTCTTGTCTGGAGAATCCTGTGGACAAAGGAGCCTGGGGCTGCAATCATAGGGTTGAAAAGAATCAGACACACGACTTAGCAGTAGCATGTAGTTATTGGACCTCAGAAAGCCACTAAAGTATGTGCAAAGTTCTACAAATAATTGGGCTTAATTCAACAGGCATTTATTGAGGCCTAATGTGAACAGACTTTGAGAGATCAAAAAATAAATTCGAAAATTACAATTTAGTACCAATTCTTGCCACTCCAGAGTATGCAGACTGGTACATAATTGGTGCTTAGCAAATATGTGAATGCTACACTAGTTGGAGTATATTCTTAGTTAACAATGGGTTGATAGCTCCCAATGCATTTTTTTCCCCCAGTGAATCTGTAAACTTAGTTATTGCATATGCCTGTTAGTTGACATCACATCCTAGTAAAACCAATTTCACTATATGTTGTAAGTTCTTTTGAGAATAGTGCTTCAGTTTAGTTGCCCACAATAAGTGACCAGTTGTCTGGAAGTTATGAATTTCCCTTATATACATTCCTCACCCCCCTCCTAACTGCCACTCCTGTATCATTATGTTAAAAAATGTTAAAAAACAATTTCTTACATAGAAAATTGGCTTTTTTTAAACCTTTTAGTATACAAGTCAGTGAAGTATAACACATGAACAGTTTCATGTAAAAATCCCATAAATAAGGACTCACCCTTCCTTTAAATTAAAATAGTATTGTAGCAGGTATGGGCTTGAAGCAAGTGAAGATTTTTCAGTGTTTATTTCTTTTTGACAATTATTTCCTCATTATGCACCATTAAAGAGAATGAATATAACCGAACTTTAGTCCCAATTCATATAATCCCAGGATGCATTTTAAAGAAATCATCTCAAGAAGAGATATTGAAGCCAGGTATGGAGACAGTATGGACACCTTTTTCAGTGAAATTAATTAGAAATGTGTTTGTAAACTTTTATACTCAGAATGTTTTGTCACTCAATATAGTTAATGCTAATAAACACTCAGATCCACTTCTTTGAATTCAGTAAATCTCCATCAGGCTAATGAAAGGGGAACAGTTTGGATAATCCAAAATGGCTACATCAGAAGTGGATTATTTCTTGTTTGGAATGCATTGTAGATACACTCCATGTACATGTATTTTACCTGTCTGGGTGTCTTGTTCAGGTCAATTTAAAAAAATTTGTGTTAGTCAGAGTGGCAGGACAATGGAAAAAACACTTGATAATATGTTCGGTGGTGGGTGGAAATAAGCCCAGGATTAAAACTTAGTCAGAAGGATCTTTGAAACAGGTTATATTGGAGAGATGTCCATTGGCTCTGAATGCCACCTACATTCCAGAGTTTTCTGAACAAAGCATGTGGACCAAAGTGTGTTTTACATTGGCTGCTATGCTTTGAGTCATTTAACAATGATTCTAGTTATAGCAAGATCAAGACCTTAAAGCAGAAATTGCTCTTAGTGTTTTGTGTCCTTAGAAAGTTGCTACTACCCAGGATAGAGTCTTTTTGGTGCTTCTATGCTTTCTTTTGACAGAGTTGCCCCAGTCAGCTCTGTCAATGAATGAATGCCTCTCGTATGTGTGTTCATGTGCATGTTTTAATGGTCACAAAACTCAGTAAAATTAAGTGCAACTAAAGTTCTTTGCCAAAATAAAGCACATTTTGGGCACTTTAAAAGGTATTTCATTCAAGTATGAGGAGTATACTCTTACAGTGCTTTGCAAAAAAATAATAATCTATGGTAGGACTGGAAGTTGTTAGCACACAAGAAAACTATTTAGGAAAAAAAACTATTTTGATAGTATTTTTTATTTTGTCTTTTCTTGCAAAATAAAGGATACCTGTATCCAAAAACTTGAGAACAAACAAACCAGTGTTATTTCTTTTCCCTTGCCTTTTGTATTTTGGAATTTGGTTCAAACCGATCGGAGTCAATGGAGAAAGTAGTGGAGTTAACTTTTGATTGTCAGCTCTGTGTTCCCTTGGGGCTACAGATGTAAAATTTTTGGAGAACTTTAACTGCAAACTTGGCTTCTTTTTTTTAAATCTTGTTCATTAAAAAAAGAATGTTGTAGGGTGCTTTGGGGGAATAGTTAAGATCCCTGTCACTGGGAATATTTAGGCAGTGGTAGGGTAATAATAATTATCAACATTTACTGGGCATTTACTCTGGGTCATTTTATCCTGATATGAACTCTTTGAGATGAGATCTACTATTCTATTGGGTTCGCCAAAAGTTCGTTCAGGTTTTTCCATAGTATCTTATGGAAAAATTCCAACAAACTTTTTGGCTACCTCAATATTTTTGTACTCAGATAGGAAATTGAAAGTGTTAGTCACTCAGTCGTGTCTGACTCTTTGCTACCCCATGGACTGTAGTTCGCCAGGCTCCTCTGTCCATGGGATTGTCTGGGCAAGAAAATTGGAGTGTGTTGCCATTTTCTCCTCCAGGCGATCTTCCTGACCCAGGAATCAAACCCTAGTCTCCTGAGTATCCTGCACTGCAGCCGAACTCTTTACTGATAAGCCGCTAGGTTGAAAAGCATGGGGAATGTCAACAGCTGAGAAGTATCAGGGATGAGATGCAACCCCAGAAGGTCTAACTCCAGAGCCTGCCTGCTAGCCCTGTTGTTACACACTGCCTCCCCTCGAGGGCGTGTAGAAGGGGATTGCTGGGTTGCTTGGAAGAAAGCAATATAAGGCCTTCAAAGGCTTTCCTACTCTTAAGAGACCAGGACTGAATAGTGTTAGGCCTACCTTGGTCCATATATCTACCAGCCCTCAACAAGGGCCTTTCCATTGCTTCCTATTCGTTTGGCCCCCTGCCCCGCCAAGGCTGATTACCATCAGTCACTTTGTGGGTGTGTTGTGGGAGCAGGTAGGGGAGTGCATTTCTTTAAAAATTCAAATTCTTATGGTAGGGCCACAGTTCTGTTTTACTTCGGGAGATAGTATAGTGGTTGCTTATGCCTCCATAGCACATTCTGAAGTACAACATCAGCCATCCGTTTCAAACATCGCACCCATCTTTTGGTCTTAGCTTACAGGTAATAGAACTTTGCTTCATTTCTAAGGTTCTGCCCTGGGTCCATTAACTGGAGTTCTACCGTAGACTTTTCCTGAGACCGTTCTGGTAACATGCACGGTTCTCTGATGTCTAGAACTGGATCTGGTGTCATACCTGCTAGACTCTCTTCCAGAGATCAGGTTCTGCTGCCTGTTGGCAAGCTTCTCCGAACAGCCAAAGGGTTAGGATTTCCGAGGATCTTCCTGCCTCTCCTTTGCTGGACTCTTTCCATCCAGTGGCGCTCCTGTCACCCCTGTTCCACCCCCTTAGCTGCCCTTCGAGCTGAACTGTAGTTGGTAATACCGCCCACTTAATATCTAAGGTAAGAGGCAGAAGATTTCTAAATCTACCATTGTCCTGCTTTCTCTTCTCGGTGGCCTCTAGGCTATAAGCCGTCTCTGCTCTGGAGGTATCATGTATTTCTTTCTGGTTTGGAGCTTCTTGTCACTGTCCGTGTAATTAGGATGCCGATCAGCAGATATTGGACCCAGAGATTTGTTTGTCTTTGCTGCTTGCTTTCATTGCCCTGTGAGTGCCTTTCTGCCCTTTGACCTGGCATGGTCTGGGGCACTCACTTCCATTATAGGTGACCTGAACGTGCCCAGTTATAGTTAGGCAGCGCGGTGCTGGGCTCCGGTGAGGGACAGTGACAGTGGACAGCTTTCATTCATGTATTCACCAATCCAAACCAAAAATAATCGTTGAGCTTCTACTGTGTGCTTTCTAGAAGTGCAGTGGTCAGTACCAGGAATACAAAAATGAACAAACATGAATTTGCTCTCAAGATTCTTAACTCTAGGGAGTGGGAGTGAAATATAGATACATTCAATAGAGTGAGGTCATTCTTGTGTAGGAGTTATGTGGAGTGTGGTGGAGCTCTTGGGAGAGACCATTAATTCAGCTGGGGGTGAGTGGTACCTGAGGGGAGCTTCCCAAAAGAGAGAAGGATAGATTTTTACCTTAGAAATGGATTGCCTCAAACCCTTCCTCTTCAGTCTTTTTGTGTTTTTTCTTTTGTGATTTAATGTGACTCTCTAGCCTCTGTCCCTTTGGCCTTTACAGCCTTTGTGCCTATTATTCTTTTTTTTTTTTTAATTTTATTTTATTATTTTTTTTTCCATTTATTTTTATTAGTTGGAGGCTAATTACTTTACATCATTACAGTCGTTTTTGTCATACATTGAAATGAATTAGCCATGGATGTGCCTATTATTCTTTGTATAATAATTTGTATCCAAGGGGAGAAACAGTAGCTTATTTTATGTTCTTAGAAGTTTTGCCTTGAAAGCACAAAAAGAGAGAGGCATGGAAAATCAAATCATCTATGTTAGGAGCACTTTGGGCTTCCTTCATGGTGGTAAAGAATCTGCCTGCAATGTAGGAGACCCAGGTTCAATCCCTGGGTCTGGAAGATCCTCTGGAGAAGGGAATGGCAACCCACTCCAGTATTCTTGCCTGGAGAAATCCATGGATAGAGGAGCCTGGCAGTCTACAGTCCGTGGAGCTGCAAAGAGTTGGACACGACTGAGTGACTTATACACACACGCACAGAAGCACTTTTGTTTTGTTGGTACCCAGAATTAGGACTCTAAGATTGTTGTATACTGAGAGAATTTTTAGCAGGAAACAAGGACACATTTGCATATGAAATGAAAATAGTTATTACAGTGACAAAATATGTAGCTTAGATTTCTAGAAACTGAATTCTTTAGTCCCAAACAAATAAGACTAGGCAAATTGGATATGAAACAAACAAACAAACAAAACTTATCTCTTGAATATTGCTGTCATCATTCCAAGTATTCTTATTTCTTAGGTGAAAAATTTCCATTACTCTTTTGTGATGTTCTAAAATTAAAAGATAGTGTAGGATTTTACATATTCCAAAAGGAGAAGACTTAAATTCAGTATTTCAATGAATTATTCTTTATTTGCTTCCTTACCAATAGATTTTTAAGTTATTATTTTATTGGCAATACGTCTCCCAAAAATATAATCCAAAGTAGTTTATAATGCATTTGGGGAGTGGGCGTGGGCAAGAACGCCACTCCTTTCTCCAGGGATCAAACCCAGGTCTCCCCACACTGCAGGTAAGACGCTTTACCGCCTGAGCTACCAGGGAAGCCTCAAAGTAGTTGCAGATATTCAGGCCAAAGTCTAAGGATCTCTTTTCTGCAGCATGCTGTACATTAAAAAAAATTAAAAGGTTACTTAAAAAAATCATAATGTGTTTTTTACTTAAGGCAATGCTTAGTTAATTCTGTTAGGCGTTTGCCTAATCTCAAATAAATATCTCAGAATTTTACCTTCACAATTGATAACATTGTCTGATTATAATATGTTTTCCCACTGCATGTGATTATAATATGATTTAATAATTTGATTTCTTAAATACAGTTAAGACATTGATTTTAAGCATTTGAAGATTAGGATTGGCTTTGTGGTTAATTTGCCATCTCAGTGTTGCTGATGATAAGTAATTTTTAGCATCATTTTCAAATCTATAAAAATTTTCATGGCCGATATTTGAGGGTTGTTATATCCTTAAAATAAATTATTGTTTCACTTATAAATTCAGTATCATTTCTTACATTCACCAACCTTGTCTGTGACCTACAAATCCTGTTTGAAACTAAAAGGAAAGACAGAGACAACTGAATTATAGGAATACTGGGTCTCAAAGAATTCAAGGGTGGTAATGCCTTCAGGAAAGATGGTAGAAGTGGGAGTAGGCAAACTCTAGGGAATTCAGCTAGCATATGTTCTCCATCTTCTATTTCTGCTTCTTTGTGTATCTTGTAGAATCTTTCCTCTCTCTGCCAGCTAGCTGGCTTACGTGTTCCTCAGTTCACATGATGGAATATGGTCTGAGTTTACTTCCTTAGTGTCGGGGGAGACATCCCTCCTTCTTAGCCTCAATTCCAGAGTCCTGCAGTGGAGACAATGACTTGTTTTGGATTAGAAGCCCACCCCTGGTCAGTCTGGAGGGTGGGATGGGGATATGGAGTGGCTGCAGGGAACCAACCAGCTCTTTGCGGGTATGTGTATCGTTTTGAGTTCAGTGCACCCTCCCTACAAATGGTATCCACTGCATTCCTGTAGGTATATAGTAAAAGCAATAGCATTACTCAATTATGGTCATGTCCCAGCTCAGAAAATTATATGGAAGCAAGAGGCTAGGGGCTGGTTGAGTAAAGGGCTCTTTTATCATAACCATGTGAGGAAAAACTCTGTTGCACCTATGATATTTTGATATAATACTCCATTTTCTTTGTAACAGGTTAGTGGTTACTTGGATGATTGTACCTGTGATGTTGAAACCATTGATAAATTTAATAACTACAGGCTTTTCCCAAGACTTCAAAAACTCCTGGAAAGTGACTACTTTAGATATTACAAGGTATTTAAAAATTTGTGGGGTGGTATAGGAATACTTAAAGCTTAAATGGATAATTACATTTTCTTAGGAATCACTGAGCTTCAAAATTGTGTTTATTATTTAAAATTGAGCAAGGCTATATTAGGAAAATGCAGTTTGTAAGAATGAACCATATGGTTCTGAAATGACCCATTGAATATTTTTAATTTCAAAAACTGAGTTTTGAAGTCTAGTGTTAGAATCTAGCTGGTTAAATTGAAGTCAGAACAGAAACTATAATATTGTTATTGAAGTCATGAGTTGTTCATAACATTCCAAAACATCAGATTTGCTCCATTTAATTTAAAAAAAGAAGTATTTTTAATAAGCATGACTTTATTCTGACCAGTATTATTTTAACAAGTAACTTGTGATGTTTTATCTTGAGATATCCATTGAAAGAGTATAGAAAACCTGATCATTGGAATATGCAGTACACATTGTGTTCACAATTGTCTGTTAGCTATTACTTTCATTGAAAGGCTGTGAGTTGGAAAAAAAAAAAAGACTGTAAGTTGAACAGTGATGACAAGAGCTACTTTGGCTCCCAGTTGCCATCTGTTCAGGAACTGCTTGGTAGCATATTTTGTCTTTATGACCAAGTCTACCAATTTACTTAGACCAGCTACACATTTATACCATCACTGAAGCTTGACAACTGGTAAATGGATGAAGTAGAATAATTGCAACTGATAACATGACCAGGTTATAGTATCATAATTTAACATCAGTCTGTTACAATCTTGAGATTCTTATTTTTGTAACTTTTCTCTAATTATATTTTGCAGGTAAACCTGAAAAGGCCATGTCCTTTCTGGAATGATATCAGCCAGTGTGGAAGAAGGGATTGTGCTGTCAAGCCTTGTCACTCAGTAAGAACAGTCTATACATTTAAGAACTGTCACATGTTTTTTGGAATAATTGCAGTTTTTTAAAGGGTGCAGTATAACTAAAATAATATTTGAATCCTTAGGTTAAATATAACATTGTTTAAAATCAACATATTTAACCTTATGACTATAAAGCCTATTTCAAATTATTCTGTCTTCATAATAGTAGAATTTAGATTTTGTGGTTAATACAGTCTGTTGATTTATTACTAAGAGTAATAAAAGCTATTGTTCTTTTGGCTTGATATTTTTATTTCTTTTTTATTGGCTGTACCGGGTCTTCGTTGCTGTGCAGGCTTTCTCTAGCTGCAGCAAGTGGAGGCTCCTTTCATTGTGGCACGCAGGCTTCTCATCGTGGTGGCCTCTCCTTGTGGAGCACAGGGTGTAGGCACACTAACTTCAGTGGTTGCAGGACACAGGCTCAGTGGCTGAGGCTTCTGGGCTCTAGAGCACAAGCTCAGTAGTTGGAGTGCACAGACTTAGCTGCCCCATGGCGTGTGGGATCTTCCCAGACCAAGAATCGAACCCCTGTCTCCTGTGTTAGCCGGTAGATTCTTAACCAGTGGACCACCAGGGAAGTCCCTTTTGGCTTATTATTTGTTTTTCTTATGTCTTAACTACAGTTATGTATGTAGTATTAAAAAAGTGAAATTTATTGAGGTGCAAATGCAGTCCTGCAGTCCTTCCCCTTTTCTGAGGGTGCATTCATTTTCCTCCTTGGCAGGGATTTGAACAAAACCACTGGCTTTGCTTAGGAGTTCTGAGAGCATTAAAATTTGAAATATTCCACTCTGAAAGCAGAGAGTTTTACCCTTTTCAGTGAAGAGATTTTTTTTCCTTTAAAAGTGCATATTTTTATTTTACTTTCTTTTATTGAGATAAAATACATATAACATAAAATTTACCATTTTATTTTAGCCATTTCTAAGTGCACAGTTCATTGGCATTAAATACATTCACACTGTTATACAGCCATCACCACCATCCGTCTCTAGAACTTTTACATCCTTCTAAACTGAAACTTCATGCTCATTAAACAACAAATTCCTATTCCTCCCTCCCTTCAGCCGTGGGAAGTCACTATTTTACTTTCCTTCTCTATGAATGTGACTACTCTAGGTACATCATGTATAAGGGGAATCTTTATAATATTTGTTCTTTTGTGTCTGGCTTATTTCACTTCGCATATTTTCCAGGTTATCTATATTGGAACATGTGCTAGATTTTTATCTTTTAAAGACTGAATAATATTCCACTGTCTGTGTGTACTACATTTGGTTTATTCATTCACCTGTTGATTGACTTGGGTTATTTTCACCTTTTGGCTCTTGTGAATAATACTGCTATGAACATGGATGTACAAATTATATGTTTGAATCCCTACTTTCAGTTCTTTTGGGTATATACCTAGAAATAGAATTGCTGGATCATTTAGTAATTTTTAGTTCAATTTTTGAGCAACACCATGCTATCTTCTGAATTTGGCAATGAGGAGTCATGATCTGAGCCACAGTCAGTTCCTGGTTTTGTTTCTGTTGACTGAGAGCTTCTCTATCTTTGGCTGCAAAGAATATAATCAATCTGATTTCGGTTTTGACCCTCTGGTGATGTCCATGTGTAGAGTCTTCCCCTGTGTTGTTGGAAGAGGGTGTTTGCTATGACCAGTGTGTTCTCTTGGCAAAACTCTGTTAGCCTTTGCCCTGCTTGATTTTGTAATCCAAGGCCAAATTTGCCTGTTACTCCAGGTATCTCTTGACTTCCTACTTTTGCATTCCAGACCCCTATAATAAAAAGGACATCTTTTTGGGGTGTTAGTTCTAGAAGGTCTTGTAGGTCTTCATAGAACTGCCAGCTTCAGCTTCTTCAGCACTACTGTTTGGGGCATAGTCTTGGATTACTGTGATTTTGAATGATTTGCCTTGAAAACAAACAGATCATTCTATCGCTTTTGAAATTGCATCCAAGTACTGCATTTTGGACTCTTTTGTTGACTGAGGGCTACTCCATTTCTTCTAAGAGATTTTGCCCACAGTAGAAGATATAACAAAGTAGTAGATATAACAAAGGTCCATCTAGTCAAAGCTATGTTTTTCCTGGTAGTCACATATGGATGTGAGAGTTGGACTGTAAAGAAAGCTGAGCGCTGAAGAATTGATGCATTTGAACTGTGGTGTTGGAAAAGACTCTTGAGTCCCTTGGACTGCAAGGAGATCAAACCAATCAATCCTAAAGGAAATCAGTCCTGAATATTCATTGGAAGGACTGATGCTGAAGCTGAAACTCCAATACTTTGGCCACATGATGCAAAGAACCGACTCATTGGGAAAGACCCTAATGCTGGGAAAGATTGAAGGTGGGAGGAGAAGGGGTCAACAGAGGCTGAGATGGTTGGATGGCATCACTGATGTGATGGACATGAGTTTGAGTGGGCTCTGGGAGTTGGTGATGGACAGGAAGCCTGGTGTGCTGCAGTCCAGGGATTTCAAAGAGTCAGACACGACTGAGTGACTGAACTGAACTGATGCTGTCTTCTACAGTGACTGTACCATTTTACTTTCTCAGTTGCAGTGTACAAGGGTTCCAGTTTCTCCACATTTTTGCTAACACAGGGGGCTTCCCTGATGGCTCAGATGTTAAAGTCTGCCTGCAGTGCAGGAGACCCAGGTTCAATCCCTGGGTCGGGAAGATCTCCTGGAGAAGGAGATGGCAGCCCACTCCGGTATTCTTGCCTCAAAAATTCCATGAACAGAAGAGCCTGGCAGGCTGTGGTCCATGGGGTCGAGAAGAGTCAGACATGACTGAGTGACTTCACTAAAATTGCTAACACTTGCTATTTTCCGTGGTTTGTTTGTTTGTTTGTTTGTTTGATAATAACCATCCTAATGGGTGTGAAGTGATAGTGTTGTTTTGAGCAGCTTATTTGTATACATGTAAATATTGCTACATATACGTGTCTAGTATAGGAATAAGGCAAATGTAAAGTGTTATTTATGAGAATTTTATCACTAGCTGAACAAAAAGCAAGTTTTTAGTTATTTTAATCCTCATAGACACAGCATTTTGAAAAGTCAAGGGTTAACTTAGGAAATACCTTATGTCTCTATGATTAAAACATGAACATATCATTAAAATGATATCAATTTAAATATTTCATTTTATTTCATTAGTTCTAGTATTTATATTTAGTAATAGGAAAAGTATTTGAGGAGATTCAAATTTACCAAGTACTTTTTTTATATGGCTTTTTACAATGCTAAAACTATGGTGGATTCTTATTAAAGACATTTAATTGCACTTACACATTAAATGGGCTATTATTAACGTTAGTCAGAACAAGCAGTCTGGCAATTATTGCAAATTTGAATCTCATCTTGAAACAGCATTACTTGTAATTATTTTAACACAGTGTAGAACTAGGGGTTGCCACCTTCAGAAGAAGATTGGAGAGGGCAGAAAAATCTGAGAGACGCATAGCATAAAGTGATAGCTTATTGATTCCCAGTTTGACAGATTGACAGATGAAATCCATTTTACTGTAAATCCTAGAGAAAACAGCCAAGTTTAGCATTTAAGAAATGCTAAAAGTTACGATGTTTATTATCTGACTTGAGCCCACAGAAATGCTAAAATAAAATAATTCGGTGAAAGCTAGCAATTTGTACTGGGAAACTGAGAAAACCTACTTATTTCACCTTCTGTAACTAGCAATTAGCAATTGAATGTAATTTTATTCAGTAATGAATATTTTTGAGGGTCTACTATGTTCCTGGACCTGGGCATGTAAGATGAGCACTTGTCATGGTGAAGTACTGGGAGAGAAACACTAAGTGATCATTTCAGTACACGAGTGATGAGCTGCTGATAGATATGCTGAAGGTGTGCACACGCGGAGCAAAGGGAGCGTAGAGGAGAGAGCCCCCAAGAAGTCCACTCCAAGTGACAACGTGGGAGCGAGCCCCTTTAACTCCTCTTAGGACAAGCCTGTCTCAGTTCTAATAGTTCCTAAGTAGGGCAGTCTATCACCACCAAAGAGTGATTACATAATTTCAAATACTTTCAAATACTTGCTGCAGGCTAACTAATCAGCTGTCCCATCTAGCATTTTATTGTACATTACTGAAATCTTGACATCTCACTATTATAGTCTTCATTATGTATCTTAAAAAGACATTGTAGGAACTCCCTGGCTGTCCGATGTTTAGGACTCCATACTTTCACTGCTAAAGGCCCGGGTTCAATCCCTGGTTGGGTAACTAACATCCCACAAGCCACATGGTGTGGCCAAAAGAACAACAACGACAAAAAGAACACTGCATCATGAACACAGAGCAATTATCACATGTGCAATACAGGTACAAGGTTAAACACAGTTAACTCACTGCTACGGAAGGTCTGCTGATGTTTTGTTAATACATTTTTGAGCTAAATGAGGAACCAAGGCCAGTTTCTTTTTGTCAACACTTTGGTTTCTTTTTTCAGTTCATGTATATGCTTGGTTCAGGTTATACGTTGAGACACAGTGGAGATAGAAAAATAATAAAAAATTGAAATTCTGTTCTTCCTACGGGGCTTTAATGGGGAAGGCAATGGCAACCCATTCCAATATTCTTGCCTAGAGAATTCCATGGACAGACTGTGGTGTCGCAAAGAGTTGGACACAACTGAGTAACTAATGCAACACAACAATGGGACTTTAAAATGCACATCTTTTGATTTGCACCCCTGATTCCAGAGAATATTTGAATGAGGCAGATTGTCTTCCCATGGAGGCTGGACTCTCTCTGAAGAGTTACTTATTACCTTTACAGTTAATCAGAACAATGTTCTTTCACTTCCATTATTAATTGGCCAATGTGAAAAAGAAAAACAATATTCAGTGTTAGTCCGGGAGTAAGAAATGAGCTCTCTGGTGGTTAAGTCTTTTGTAGGTTAATTAGAAAGATGTATCCAATAAAAATGGTACATATCCTCTGACCTAGCAATTCTACAAAGATTTTCACTTATAATTGGATAGATGTCCAAAGATAACCATAAAGCAGCACTGAATATTGTAAAAATGTCAGTTCTGCTGAAATCAACCTATAAATTTGGCCTGGTTTATTATATGAAAAAACTAGACACCATCTAAATATCTGGTCATAGGAAAAGACTATACACTGACCTAGTACAAAGTCTAGACGAGTACACAATAAAGTGTTCATCTCTGTGTGGGTCTTTCCCTTTGGAATCTATTTCAGGAAAGCACTGAATATATTTAGCATTAGAATAGGACCCTGCAATTTACAGAGCTCTCTCACATACATCGTTATCTCTACTCACAGCATCACTTTGAGGATAGGTAGATAGATCCTGTGTTATACAGTGGTCAACACAGAACTAAAACTAGTGCCATTTTCCTCTGAAAAGAACTAGAGTTCCTTAAAAAATGGTTGATTCCTAGACTGGAACAAGAAATATATAAGAGCCTGGAGTATCTTGTCATAACAGAAACAAAAAGTGCTGTTAAAGATTACTGGGGTAGGGACTTCCCGGTGGTCCGGTGGCTGAGATTTCTTGCTCCCAATGCAGGGGACTTGGGTTTGGTTCCCTGGTTGGGGAACTGGATTCTGCATGTGGCAACTAAAGTTCCTGCATGCTGAAACAAAGATCCAGTGTGCCAGCAACTAACACCTGGCACAGCCAAATAAATAGAAATATTAAAAAAAAAAAGATGACTAGGGTAACATATAAAAGATACCAGTGCAGCTAAAGACACAGGCCACATAAAAAAGGCCAGCACAGGCCAGCACTTAGCCTCCAGGTGGTTAAATATGGGACAGTTTGAGCATTAAGAATAATGGCTAAGATTCTACTTTTATATTTCCATGCTCTAATGTGTATAATCAATCCATAGCATGACTTATTGAATTTTTTGTTTATTTTTAAGAAATAATATAAAGATTGCCTAACTGTTCTCAGTTAAATATTAGCCTGTTAACTTCAGTCATTTGTTCTGTGAATTTTTCTTATAAATCATAGAACTATAAAATATTTTTTCAGAAGATAGAATAACTGTCATCTAAAAGCATTTTAAAATATTTTTCAGGATGAAGTTCCTGATGGAATTAAATCTGCAAGCTACAAGGTATGTATATATACTTATTAATGTGTCTAGTATTGGACAAAACTAAAAAAATTCACTTCCCCTACCAACTAATACCTCACTTCTCTGCTCCCCTGTAAAGTGATACTCCTTGCAGTGGCTGTAATTCTTTTTTCCTCCATTTTCTTTACCTTTTTTTTTTTTAAATTAAAGCTTAAAAGAAAAATAAAAGTCGGGGGGAACCCCAAATTGTGTACACATCACCCAGCTTAAGGCATTACCAGTATATATGGTCAATCTTGTTTCATCTGTCCCTTCCACTCCATTCTCCCAATTATTTGAAAGCCAGTCTGAGATAAATCATTGTGTGTACAAATACTTCGTATGCATTTCTAAGACAGATGATACTTTAAAAACCCCACATGACCAAAGTCGGGGTCGGGTCTCTCTTGTTGTTTCGTAAATGCCTTAATGTCTGTGCCTGTGTGCTCCGTTGCTTCAGTCCCACTCTTTGTGACCCTACGGACTGTAGCCTGCTAGGCTCCCCTGTCCACTGGATTTTCTGGCGTGATTTGCTGTGCCCTCCTCCCGGGGATCCTCCTGACTCAGGGATCAAACCTGCATGTCCTGCGTCTCCTGCATTGCAGGCAGATTCTTTACCCATTGAGACACCTGGAGCCCTTAATAGTCAATTTCAAATAGGATTCACACATATTCTACACATTTCACTTGGTACGCGTCACACCTAAGGTGCTATTTGACTGGTCAGTGAAAAATCTGGGAAATTATAGATTAGGTTTATGAGAAATACGTGTGAGAAGCAGAGGGTGAGTAGTCCTGCATACAGAGAGTAGTCCTGTTTTATAGGGGCTTTATCCTTCATTGCATGGTGCAAATCAACCACTTATTACTATTTAGCACTTTTAAAATTTTACAGTGAATCCTTTTGACTGAAAGAACTAAAAGAGGAAAAAGAAAGTACATGTTTAATGAAAAATGAAGTACTGAATCTCCACTTCTCACAGCAGTTGATGATGATATATAACTCACACAAGGGTTATTGTTTACCATCCATAAGAACCTTGAAAGTATCACTGATCCTATGAAAATCAAAACACACAGATCTGCTGACAAAGCCTGAGCAGCCACTTTGTAAGTTAGTGGTTGTTTTAAGAAGAGTGTGTCTGAGACAGCTTAACATGTGCAGACAATAAATGCAGACAATAAATTTACATATCATTTTGGAATGTGTGATTGTCCATTTAGACTACATAACTGTTCTAAGTTAAAATTTTCTGATATTTTATTATGAAAATTTTCATACATACAGCCAAGTTGAAGGAATTTTCCTGTGAACACTGTCATACTAATCACCTAGATTCTACTATTAACATTTTCATAAACTCACTTTACTACATATTTGTCTATCTGTTCATCCTTATAGCCATCCATTAAACCATTTTATTTTTTGAATGTATTTCAAATAAGTTGCAAGCATCAGTACACATTGCCCTCACTATATGTTATTAACTAAATATATACATAACTAGAAGTATATCATTGAGTAGAGTCTAATATTTGCTTACATGTACATTTAATAAAATTGATATACAATGAAGTGCACACATCTTAAGTGTGCATTTGTTAAATGCATACACCTTTATAACAGGCTTCTGTTTCAATACAGAACATTGCTGCTACCCTAGAAAGTTGTTTGATACCCCATCCCAGTCAATCCATACTCCTTCCCCAGAGGCAGTGACTGTTCTGCACTTTTTCCATGTTAGATTTAAGCTAATTTTGATCATTTTTGATTCTGCATTTTTTATTCATACACAAAGAATGAAGTCATAGCTATTAATGTGTTGGCTTCAGTGCAGAGCTTTGCATATAATTAAATGATGCCATCATCAGCTGTTTCAAATAATCATTTCAATTCCAGAATTTTAAAAAAATATATTTATTTTTGGTTGTGCTGGGTCTTTGTTGCTTTGCATGGGCTTCTCTAGAGTGTGGACGCAGCTGTTGTGGCATACAGGCTTTAGTTGCTCTGAGGCCTGTGGGATCTTCCCAGACGAGAGATTGAACCTGTGTCCTCCACATTGGCAGGTGGATTCTTATCCAATGCACCACCAGGGAAGTCCCAGAAATTGTTTGCTTTTCTTTATTCAGTTGATGCTCAAAGTAAAATTTTCAGAAGTTCATTCTGTTGGAAAAAAGCATTTGTCACTGAATATTAGTATAAATTCGTTTAAAGTTCAAAATTGAAGATGAAGTGTTTGTTTTGTGGGATTGATACACATATTAAATTTTGATGAAACAGTATCCTGCTTCCCTGGTGGTCCAGTGGCTAAGACTCCATGCTTCCAATGCAGGGGGCCTGGGTTCGATCCCTAGTCAGGGAACTAGATCCCACACCTTGCAACTTAAGAGTTTGCAAACCACAGCTAAAGATCCCACATGTCGCAACTAAGACCTGGCACAGCCAAATAATAAAATATTAAGGAAAAAGAAATCATGTCCTGGTAAATCAAGAAATGTCCTTACTAAATCAAGGAATCTTACTAAATCAGAATTGTAATTGGTTGAGGTACATTCATAATTCATAATTGTATCCCGACATGCTGTGATATGTTACTACTTAAGATAGAAGTTACTACTTCTATCTATTTGACAATTACTATTGTCAAAATTATATATTTGTCAAAATATATAGGAGATGCTGAAGGACAGGGAAGCCTAGTGTGCTGCAGTCCATGGGGTCGCAGAGTCGGACATGACTGAACAGCTGAACAACAAAATAGGATTTTGTATTTATATATACACTAAGTAATGACTATGAAGTTTTGGGGATGATGCTTATGCTGAATAAAATATCACTTTAGCATGGTAGTGGACTTTCTTTGCTCTCCATCATCAATCCAATTTTATAAATGTTTGAGCCTTTGAAGAACTACTTTGTTAAATAGTCCAAGAATCCTTCATTGGTATTGATCATTTGTAAATAAATGAGCCCTCTAAATGTTGGTTGAATTTTCAAAATCAGTAGAGAATCATTATTCAAAGTATCTATTGGTGGACTGCTTAAAGAAAAGAACAAACAAATTTCAGCTTTTGAAGCTTTAGCAAGTTGTACTTATTATAACAAAGCTTGTAAACAAAGACCTGGATATTTATTGATATAAAAAGTAGGAAAGAACTGTACATATTAAGTGAAGAAAGTTCAAATGGTATACTACATTAAATTCTGAAATTTTACAGTTGTGTTTTGGAGACTCTCCCCTTGTGGAAAGAGTCTCCTCTTGATGAACTCTTGTTTTTAACTGGATAAATTTATATTCTTAGCTAGGAGGGAAGCCCAAATTCTGACCTGAAATGGATTTAAATTAAGAAAGCTTACAATTTCATTTCTATTTGTAAAACATTTAAAATAATTAAAAAATAAGAATAATTTATTTGATGATTTTTGTCTTATTTATTNAGTCGTGTCTTGCAATCCTATGGACTGTTTCCTGCCAGGCTCCTCTGTCCATGGGATTCTCCAGGCAAGAATACTGGAGTGGGTTGCTATGCCCTTCTCCAGGGGGTCTTCCCAACCCAGGGATAGAACCCGTGTCTCCTGCATTGCAGGCAGATGCTTTACCACTGAGCCACCAGAGAAGTCCTAATTATATATAAAAAGTAATTTTAATTTTGAAAGTAGTTTTTGAGTTGAATTTTCTTTAGGTCGACCAATGTGATGAAACAAAGCATTTCAAACAATTATGTCATTTCAGTTATTTCAGTGTTCGCTTTTATCCTCAAAAGAGTCCTTGCCTGGACGATCATTTGTATGATCATCCTTACAACAAGGACATGATGGGCACTCAGTTTACATTTGTTGAGTGATTGAATCTGTGGTCTCCTGCTTCCAGTATCATCTTTTAGCTGTATGGTAGTGATGCCTGGTGGGTCGTGAAGTCTCATGATCCATACTTACTTCCCTTGTACACAGCAAGCAGAACACATATCGTGACTTTGACTTTGCAAAGAAATACAGTTGTTAAAGAACGTATTTTATGCACCTAAAGATATTGGAGTATTTTTATAAGACTCAGTAGCCTCCAGGGCATTTTTAGAATCATGGTATTTAGAGTTGAAATAGATCATAGACGCACATGATCTGGCCCAACCACTTATTTTATGGAAGAGAAAACTGATGCTCACAATTAGGTCATTAGAAAAGTGGAACACTGCCCCATGACTCCTTGCCAAGTGATTTCTTTAACCTCAAAGATTTTCTTAGTGGACATTTTGATAGCTGTTGGACTGTAAATTATTCTTTATTTTGTAAACATAATAGTAAGTTGTATTCTCCAACAAAACAAAGAGCAAAGCCTTTTACTTATATTTTAGCTTCAGGAGGAATGTGAGGCTTATTTTTTTTTTTCTTGTAAAGTTTTGAAACCAAGGGGATGATGCTTGCTCTAAAAGAACCTCAAATGCGTTCGACAGTCTTCTTAAAAGTTTCTAAAGTACAATCAATTGAATTCTATTTCTTTACCTTTTGTTTTAGTATTCTGAAGAAGCCAATAATCTCATTGAAGAATGTGAGCAAGCTGAACGACTTGGAGCTGTGGATGAATCTCTGAGGTTTGGTGTTTTATTTGCAGAAATATTTTATGCTTTTTCAGGTGAAATGTTAACTTAAGAAAAAGAGTAACTCCATTTTCTTTGTTTAAAGTGAGGAAACACAGAAGGCTGTTCTTCAGTGGACCAAGCATGATGATTCCTCAGACAACTTCTGTGAAGCTGATGGTATAACATTTTTTATACTATGCATGTTAAGATTGTACCTAAGGAAAAATATTCTTTAGAAATAATTTAAAGAAAAAAATCCCCAGTTTCTAACAGTTTGGCAGTTCCTCAAAAAGCTAAACACAGAATTACCATGTGACTTAACAGTCAAGTCCTCAGCATTTACCCCCAAAAGACTGAAGACAGTAAAGCAGATACTTGTACACCCTGTTCACAGCAGCCTTATTTGAAGCAGCCAAAACATGGAAACAACCCAAGTATCCATCAGCTGCTGCTAAGTCACGTCAGTTGTGTCCGACCCCATGCGACCCCACAGACAGCATCCCACCAGGCTCCCCCGTCCCTGGGATTCTCCAGGCAAGAACACTGGAGTGGGTTGCCATTTCCTTCTCCAATGCATGCAAGTGAAAAGTGAAAGTGAAGTCGCTCAGTTGTGTCTGACTTCACCACCCCATGGACTGTAGCCTACCAGGCTCCTCCGTTCATGGGATTTTCCAGGCAAGAGTACTGGAGTGGGGTGCCATTGCCTTCTCCTGTATCCATCAGCAGATGAATGTATAAACACAGTGTAGTATACACATACAATGGAATGCTATTTAGCCATAAAAAGAAAAGAAGTTCTGATACATGCTGCAATATGGATAAACACTGAAAACATTAGGCTAAATGAAATAAGCCAGGTGCAAAAGGACAAGTGTCCTATGACCCCACTTACATGATATATCTAGAATAGGCAAACTGATAGAGGCAAGAAGTGGTTTTAAGTTGCCAGGAGTTATAGGAAGGAGAGTGGGAGTTATTGCTTAATGGTTATAGTCTCTATTTGAAGTCACAGGAAAGTTTGGAAACAGTGATGATTGTTGCACAACATTGTGAATATAATTATTGCCACTGAATTGCAGTCTTAAACATGGTTAAAATGGCAAATTTCATGTTGCATATATTTTACCACAATAAAACAATTTTAAAAGAAAACCCAGTTTCTGAAAAAAAAATTCACCTCCTGAGTTTGCAGTTCTGTGTACTTAGTAATATATATGTTTAACTTTTGTAATATATACAGGTACTTTGTATAACCTGCTTTGTTGTACTGACCTTGGATTGTTAAATATTTTCCTTAATGATGATTTGTGTTGTTTTTTGGAAAGAAAATAATGAACCATGAGTTATGTCTGTGACATTTAAATAAAACCAAGCCAGAGCTCTGGTACGATTAAAATCTAGGAGTCCTAGAATGCATTAGAACCATTCGATTTATGGATTTTTAAATTAGATTTATAGATTCTCCCAGTCTTCCATTGTTTTTTTTTTTTAGTATCTCCTTTTTTGTAAGTTTACTTGTTAGCATTTTAATTGGCTAAAGAAAATTAAACTGAGTTGAGTTTTTGTATCCTTCTTTGCTTCTTTTGGAACAGACTAATGATCTTTCAAAAAAAATCAGTGAAAAGAATGATATAGATCATTTTAATTATAAGCAAAAGATGAATCTTAAACACTCCCCTCCCCAAAAAAGGGAAAGTACTCATTTTTAATTTGTGGCTTCATTTTGGAGAAAAAAAGTACATAAACTTTACTTAATGGAAACCATGACAATATTTTAGCGGATACATATCTGTAATCCATTGTTTCTAATTCCCAAATCTGAAACTTTGAAAAATGGCTATTTTTCTCCTTAAATTTAGTGCCGATTCACTCAGTATGAATATTCATGTTTTTTTTCATGTTTTTTTACTACAGAAATATTTATGTGTTTGTTTAAATGTTGCTGCCCCAATCTCTCCTGGAACAATATTCAACATATGTTGCATGTACTATATTACTGTTCTAAAATCTGAAAAGTTAGGAATTTCAAATCACATTTGGGGCCAAGGGTGTTGAGTAAGAACTGTGGACTTATACCTAGTATTAGGCCAATAAGGAAAGGATGATAAAATGCTCTCCCAGCCCTAATTTTGCCATCTTTTCTGCAAGGATTCTTTGGCCTAAACATTGCTATATGAGATAAAATTCACCTTGTAACATGGCAATGTATATTTTTTTTAGGCCTGCAGTATTAGAGAAAGAATGGGAATACCTTTACCAGAGCATCCTTTTAAAGCTACATGCTTACTTTTGTGTCCCAAATCAGTAATTCATTCCATATATGATGGAGTTCTGTTATCTTGGCTGAATAACTTGTCCACATATTTTTGTTTCTTCTCTTATAGGAGGGTGAATATATTTTTTTAAAAAGGACAGCTTTATAAGAAATAAATAATGTATATAATGGTAGATAGAGGATAGGTATTTTATATCTTTTTTTTATATATTATTTTTATTTTTCTTATAACAAGTCATAAGGTAAGCATTTGTCTTACTTAGGACTTGTTTTTTTAATAACCTTTCAGTATTTTATTTTATTTTTTAAAATTAATTTATTTTAATTGAAGGCTAATTATAATATTGTAGTGGTTTTTGCCATATGTTGACATGAATCAGCCATGGGTATACTTCTGTTCCCCATCCCGAACCCCCCTCCCACCTCCCTCCCCATCCCATCCCTCTGGGTCATCCCAGTGCACCAGCCCTGAGCACCCTGTCTCATGCATC